GGGCGGCGCGGCCGGCCTCTTCGCCAAGCAGGTGCAGAAGAAGTTCAGCAGGGCCCAGGAGAAGGTAGGTGGCTGGCCTCGCAGGGCGCCCCCGCGACCCTGGGACCCCAGCGGGGCGGCTCCTCTGACTTCCCCGGGAGAGGCCAGTGGGCAATGGCTCTCCATCCAAAGGGGAAGCTTGGAGAGAGGCCCAAGGAAACCCCCCTGCCATGAGCCAGGCTAAGGGCACCAAAGGGACCCCAGTCCTCCCGCTGGGCAGGGGCAGCCCTGGGAGAGGTGAAAGCAAGGAGCGACCTCGCTGAAGGATTCAGGTGCAGGCCAGCACTCCAGCGAGGTTGGGATTTTGCAGATGATGAAACTCAAGGGTCATCGAGTGTCATTTTCCCCAAGTCGTCAAACTCTTAAGGGCTGACCAGAATGTCCTCCTGCCGCCTTGAACCGCCAGGCCGCTTGGGTTGGGGACCCATTGAAGACGAGAATGAGTCGGCAGAATTCTCTCTGCCCCTAGCCGGGCCTGGCCTCGGAATACGGTTCTCGGTGATGTAACCTGTAGTTCTCATCAGCTTCCTGTAAGGCCCCTGTGGCCGTGGTGGATGCAGGGTGCGCCACCCAGGAGGATGTAAGAGACTCGTTCTCTTGTGTCCTTCGCTAACCCGGGGTGGTTGTACCCCAGCGGGGACACTGAGCTCTGTGGGCCGGAACTTGCCTGCCTGTACAAATGGTTTGGGGTACTTCTTGAGCCATTGCATGAGCACCCATCCTTCTGCCTGGCCAGACTGTTTGCTTCCTCTCAGAGCGTTTGTTTTCCAGCCCCCAACACTGGGTTAGAGGAGATGGTCTCCGAAGACATCTTAAGTCAAAAGAAGAAGCGGGCAGGAGGGGCAAAGAAGTTCTCTGGTCTTGTGTTAGATCAGTGGTTCTCAACCTGTGGGTCCAGACCCCTATGGGGGGTCAAACGACCCTTTCACAGGGGTTGCCCACTTCATAACAATAGCAAAGTGACAGTGATGAAGTAGCAATGAAAATAATGTTATGGTTGAGGGGGGGGAGGGTCACCACCACAGGAGGAACTGTATGAAAGGGCCGTGGCATTAGGAAGGTTGAGAACCACTGCTTTAGATGAACAGCACCGGAGTACAAATTGGGATAGTCCTATCTTCTAAAGGTGGATGGTGGTTTGGATCCTGAAGGAAGATGAAAGGGGGGTGATTGACAAAGAGCTGATGGGATGTCAATACTGCCCCTGTTGAGGACGCATTCAGTGGAAGGAAGGAGGCTGTGTATAGGGTCCCTGTCTTTACGGGTGGGCGCTCAGACCTGTGAAAAACCAAGCTCACTGCCATTGAGTTTATGCCAACGCATAGCAGCCCTAGACAGGGTAGAACCGCCCCCCCCACCCAAGGAGTTTCCAAGACAGTAACTTTCCGGAACTAGAAAGCCCTGTCTTTCTCCCATGGTGCCACTGGTGGCTTTGAGCTGCTGACCTTGCAAATCGCAACCCAAAGTGTGGCCGCATCCTGTGAAAGACCAGCCCGAACCCACTGCCACCCAGTGTCATCCCACTCAGTCACCCTATGGCGGGTTTGAGCCTGCAGTAGACCGCCTCCTTTTTCTCCTGCAGAGGAGCTGCTGGGCTTGAACCGTGGACCTTCCCGTCAGCAGCACAGCACCACCAGGGCCTGTGCTGCTCTCTGTCCCCGGTTATGTGAGAGAAGGGAAGAAAAAGGAAAGGATTTTGTGCAGCCACACTTTGTTACTTTACCACGACCGTTGTTTTAGCCTGCCCCAAAGCTGTTTCAAATCTCATATCCCAAAGGGCAATGCCCATGAGAAGGCCTAGCTTGAAGGGAGAGGGAATGTAACAGGGCTGGGGGTTGGGGCCGTGAAACAGGAAGAGAAGACTGCTACTTCCTATGGGCTGGAGTCACAATGGGATAATAACCATTTTTGAAAGATAAACACTCCGGTTTCAGCTCAGTCTGTCATCCGTATCAGGCCCCTGTTTGGACTTTAGTTCCTTTTCCGAGCGCTGACTCAGAAAGCTTTCGTAAATCATTGCCCTGCTCTCCAAGGCCCAGGTGGCACAGCGGCTACGTGTTGATCTGCTAACTGCAAGGCCAGCTTTTCAAAACCACCAGCTGCTCCATGGGCGAAGGATGGGGCTTTCTACTCCTGTCAAGAATGACAGTCTTGGAAACTCACAGGGGCCGGTGTACCCTGTCGTACAGGGTCGCTGGGAGTCAGCATCAACTCAATGGCAGCGAGTTTGGCTTTGGAAGGAAAATGCTCAGATCCTGCAAGCGAGGTGGCTGAGGATTGTTTAGTTATTTGGAGATACAAAGGTGGCCAGTAGGAACCTAATGAGTCTGATGCTGACGCACGGAGGACTCCTTCAGCCCCAGAGGAAAATCTTTCCTGAAGCAAGAACAGCTACCCAAGCAGCTGCCTGTTCTTGGCCTGAGAGAAAGCAGCGGGCGCCTAGCTTCCCTGGGGAGCCCCCAGGCTGATGCCGAAATCAAGAGGTTATTTTGAGGTTGAACTCAGATCCAGACACAGGCACCCTGAGCATGCTCACCCTGAGCATGAAGGGGTGTGACTGGCACCCAGGAGGTAGTGGTAGGGTGGGACCGGCCTGGGATCTGGGAAGAGGTCAGCCACCAGGGACACACAGTCCCTAAGTGGTCGGAAGTTACTGGGAATAAAATGAAGCGGAAGGAACAGTAAAGAGAAAGGACTCCCTGTGGAGTTTTTGTGCATTTTTTCCATAAGCAATTGGATTTAGTCTTCTAAGTAATAACTGTAATTGCTATGGGTCAGATAGTCAGTTGTGTCCAATATCCGGGGCCTACTATGAAGCAGACAACAGAATGTAACAAAAAACAAAAAAGACATGCCCCTTCCTTTTATGGAGTGAGCATTCCAGCGATAGATTTTTCTTTATCTTTTTAACTCGTGAAGGAAGTCATTAGTTTCCCAGTTTTAGAAATGAGGAAACAAGACTCAAAAGAGATGAGCAAGTGGCAGAACTTTAACTGAAACCCAAATGCCCTGCCTCGGGATCCAGCTCTTTGCTGGCGTCACCGTGGTATAGAGGTCACACATTGAGCTGCAATCTGCATGGTCAGCAGTTTGAAACCACCAGCTGCCTCGTGGGAGAAAGACTGAGCTTTCTACTCTTGTGAACAGTTGCAGTCTCGGAAACCCACAGGGCAATCACTGTGAGTCAGCAGTGACTTTGGCAGTGTGAGCTCTCTTTACAGAGAGCCTGATAAGCCCCTGGGCCCTCTGGGCCTCTCCCCTTCCTGCTGACTGGCTCCTTCCTTCTAGGAGAGCTGGGAATGGAAACATTCCCAAGCCGAGGTCCTCCAAAAGGCTTGGTGGAACTTGACACTGTTCATCCCAAAAGGGGTGCAGCATTCTGTTTTCTAGTCCCGACCCCATCTCATCCTGAGACCCCATTCAGGCTGGCTTTGTTGTGTTTTTACAGTTCGTTACAGCATCAGATTTCCAACTAATGCTTTCACCATCTGTTTATGATTTCTCTGTGGCAAACCTCTCAGATCTCCCCAGAGAAAGGGCATGGTTTACCACTCCTTTGTTGGTCTTAACTTCCTGTGTGGCTTACTCATCTTGTGCCCCAGAGGGTTCAAGGCAACAAACGTCTTGGTCCGGGGCTTAGGAAGAAGAAAAGGAGAAAAACTGTATTGGAACCTTATTAAGAAGAGAATCGGAAGCCAGGCAGGATCGTTTCTCCTTGTTTTATTAGACCCGTTCTTGTCGCTAGTCCTTGACACGCCGCTCCTTCCTCCACTGGGGTCTCTCGTGTCCTCTTCCCCAGCAAATCCCACCCCCACCCTCCACTACCGTAAGGAACACTAACCAAACAAGCCAAACGAATGAAGTGCCCGTGTCATGTGCTACATAGGAATGTTGGAAGAATGCTGCATGAAATAGCCATGCGCTCTACACATGGATTCAATAGTGGGCAACGTTTTGCCAAATCTGCTGCATATCTCTACTGCCTCCATGTGACTGTCGTTAGCAGCACTGTTACCTGCTGCTGGTCAGTATTCATTAAGTCGGTCTGCCCTGAACTCACGCTGGGTGCCCCGCCCCCCCACCGTGTGACAGAGTAGAACTGCCCCAGGATTGCCTTGACGGCAGTCCTCGTGGAAGGGGCCCTGGTGATGCAGCGGTTCAGCACTAGACCCAAAGCTCGAAAGCTCTTCTATTGATTTACAGCCTAGGACACCCTGTGGTGGCACTTCTGCCCCGTCCTACAAGGTCACTCTGAGTTGAGGTGACTGGAGGCACAGGACTGCAGTCTTAATGGAAGCCGACTGCTGGGCTTCCCCTGGCTGCATGTGGATTGGCAGCCCATCGCAAACAGCCTGCCCCACCTGCGCTCCCTGCCCCCCAAAATGAACGAAAAATCTATAGGAAGGGGCTTTAAACAGCTCATGGGAAAATGGAACTACATGATAATATTTGTTGTTTTTAATAACTCATTTTATTAAGGGCTCTGACAGCTCTTATAACAATCCATCCATCCATTGTATGGAGCACATTTGTACATATGCTGCCATCATCATTTCCAAAATATTTTCTTTCTACTTGAGCCCTTGGCATCTGCTCCTCTTTCCCCCCTCCCTCAGTGATCATGTTGTTTGTCCACTGATCTACTGACGTGCCCTCGCATGTGGACATTTATGCAGACATGTAAGAGTAAATGCACGCATACACACAGAGGGTTGTTTTTTTGGGGGGGTGTTTCTTTTAACCATTTGAAAGTGAGTTGCAAATATCCTAACACTCTACTTTGCCTGTGTTTTAAAAATGAGACTTCTTTACATCATCACAAGACAGCTGTCTGACCTAAGGAAAAGTAACAAAACTCCCCTATACCATCTCATATTCCAATCGAGGGACCTAACTTAAAATACAGTAATAATGACAGGAAGGGTCATGGTGGGGGACAGGAGCCATAACGATGGAGCAGGTGATTTTTTTTTAAGTTCTACCTTCAACCCCAACCTTTTATTTGGAAACATTTCAAATCTACAGAATAATTATAAGTCCATGGACATCGGCATGTTCCTCATCTACCCCCACTTGTTAACATTTTACCACATTTGCTTTCTCTCTCGCTCTTTCTCTACTACTCTGTATTCTGATTTTTCGGCAGCCAGGGCAGGCAAACTGGAGGAGGATTCTTAGGGTAGGTCTTTAGGGATTGGCATTCCCTGGACTGTCCATAGGGAAAGATCTGCAAAGCAGAACTTCGTCTTTCCACGGCTGGCGTCTGCAGAGCATCTGTGTATCCTGTTCGCTCAGAGAACCCTGGTTGCAGGGCCTTCCAACAGAGTATAAGTCTGACACAGGGGCCAGTTGCTTACAGCAAAACGGAGCTTTGGGGCCAGGTATTGGGTTGTTTCCAAGGTGACAGCACTTAAACCTTTTCTTTCTCCAAAACTTAAAAAAATGAGGTTTCCTGAACATACACCTCCCATGCCTTCTAAGTCTAGCTTTTATCCTTTGGGGGATGGGGAGATTGGTCTGCCCCAGGTGGCCAACAGGAACCCTTGATGCCTTTACTCTCCTCTATCCTCTTTACACCACCTACGAAGAACCCCGCCCCAGCAAAGGAAGGGAGGGGCGGCAGGAAGGAAGTGAGAGCTGGCACTCACCGCTCAGCTAGGTGGTTTTGCAACTTTCTGGTAGAAGATAAGGTTTCCTAGTGAGGAGAGGGTGGATGGCCGACTGCAGACCCATGTCCCCAATCAAACAGAGCCAAAAATCCAAAAAGGAACTAGAGATAGGTATTTGCAAGTAAGGAGATGTAAATATATATCATTAAGAATAAATTTTTAAAAAACCGAATGCACTGCCATCAAATCAATTCTGACTCATAGTGACCCTATAGGACAGGGTAGAACTGCCCTCTAAGGTTTCTGAGGCTGTAGGTTTTTATGAATGCAGATAGCCTCGTCTTTCTCCTGATGAATGGCTATTGGATTCGAACTGCTGACTTTGCAGTTAACAGCCCGGCGTGTAACCCATCTGAAGTATGGCAGGTAGAGCTTGTGCTCTGGCTACCACTTGAAGTGGGGCACCTCTGCCCCATCCAAACCCAAACCAAACCCACTGGCCAAGAGTTGATTCTGGTTCATAGTGATCCTATAGAGGGTTCTGAGGGTGTGAATCTTTTTTTTTTTTTTTTTAGCTAATAAAATTTTATTGTTCAAACTGTACAGTTGGTTGGACCTGCTCATGCATCTTCACCAGTTGCTGGGGCGTCTCCACCCTTGGTGTTCCTGGTGTAAATTACTTGAGCTCTGTGTTTTGAAACCAGCTTGATAAGTCCTTTACCCAGCAGCTCCTGGAGGGCTGCCCTGGCCAGGGAACCACGAATCTTCAATCTCTCAGAGACAACAGCTGGGGTGATCAGCTTATAGCTGGGAACTTCTTTACAGAGCTTGTCGTATGTGGCTTTGTCAAACAAGACCTGGTTATTGAGCTTGTCCCGAACTTCGCCTGTGGACCACTTCTTCTTCTTGGCCTCGCCCCCGGATTTGTTCACTGGGTCTTTGTCCTTCTTGGCCGACTTCCCGGCATCCTTCTTCTTGTCGTCCTTGGGCGGCATCACGAAGCTCGAGAGCAGCTACCGCCGCAGCAGCCTCGCTAAGATGTCGGACAAAAAAGGACGGGTGTGAATCTTTATATAAGTAGAAAATCTTGTCTGCCTCTGAGCGGCTGGTAGGTTTGAACCACTGAAACTGTGGTTAGCAGTCCAAGGCTCCCCTGGCAATGCCCCCAGGGTCCCTGTGCATGATCCTGGCTGTGCATGGAGAGCTTTCTGGAGGGTAAACTCTGTGAAAGCAGTTTGCAGACCTACTATCATGTATTCCTCCTAACCACCACAGGAGCTAAATATTCCCTTGTGAGAGGAGAGCCCTGGCTGCGCAGTGGGTTACACATCAGGCTGCTAACCACAAAGTCAGCAGTTCAAAACCACAGCCCCTCCTCTGGAGAAAGATGAGGCTTTCTGTTCCTCTAAGGATTTACAGTCTTGGAAATCCATTCTGTTCTACCCTGCCCTACAGGGTCACTACGGATCCAGTAGACTGCACGGCAGTGAGTTTGGATTTTGAGGAGGGAAGGAAACCTTTGTATACTGAGGCTGAAGCATTTATGTGACTTACCCAAAGGCTTATAGCCAGTAAGTGGAAAGCCCAAGCTAGGAGCCATACCTGTCAGGTTCCAGGGCCTTTGGCCGTAACCCCCACAGAGAGAGCTCCGCAAGGAAGAGAGCCCACCCTGCCCTTTAAAATGAAGACACTTCAACTGGAGCCTCTGCTCAGAGTCTGCAATCGCTCCCCAGACCCAGGCCTCATGCATGTGATTCCAAGGCCCTCACTAGGAGCCTCCAGGCTTTGGGGCTTCTCCCCTCCACTCGCCATCACACGGCCTACGCCAGCCATGCCGAGCTGGTGCTGTGGCTCTTCCTACTCCCGTGACGTTGCCGCAGCCGAGTGACTCCTGGCCTTACCCTTTGTGCTGGTATTTCACTCTAGCCAGGTCGTGCCTCAAGGCCCAGCCCAGTGCCTCCCTCCTGGGTCAGTCTCACCTTCCTTCCTGTCGTAACTGAAGTCCCATTTGTCCAGGCTCTGAGGAGTCTGGACGACGGAAGCAAGTGACACTCAGTGCTGAAGGCGCTCCCGTCCAGAAGGAGACCGGTCAATGCCCACGATGGAGCCCGGAGTCGAAGTGCAGTGTGCACGAGGCACGGACGTTTGCAAGCACTTAAAAAGACAGATTAAGAGTCATGGAAGATAGGGAGTCCAAACTGAAATGGAATGGTTTCCAGAGCTATTGCGAGCCGGGAGTGACAGAACTGCTAGGGAATCTGATGAATGATTAGAAATATTGAGCGTTTCTACTGAAATGATAACTTGGGTCTGGGAGAATGGTGGCTGCCTCCTTCCAAGATGCGGGTCCCAGATAGGCCAGTCTGGACTCTCTTAACCATATTCCTGTGAACTAGCAAGTTCATTCGCACTCACAGCAGTCCTACAAGACAGAGCAGAGCTGCCCCACAGGGTTCCCTGGGCTGGAAGCCCCGCCTGACAGAAGCAGACTGCCAAGTGTATGTTGGCTTTGGCTTTTGGTGAGCAGCTAGGGGTTAACCACTGCACCTGCCAGGGCTCCCACCCTGTGTCACTAGCTGTCTCCCAGTGAGAGCAGCTGAAGGAGAACAGGGCTGGGGCTTTGTCCTTTCTTGTCCTTGTAACCACACTGAAGCTGGTGTCATGACTGGCACAGTGGTTGTCTAGTAGAGAGGAGGCAGGGGTGGATAGTGGCCCGGTGTCGCTGAATTTTGGTTGCATTTTACCAGAGCTTCTCAACCCTCACAGGAGAAGAGTTCCCTGACCACTCTTGCAACCTCATCTGCCTTCTACCCAGAGGTATTTGAGGCTCTAGCTAGAAGACAGGGTCTCTCAGGGATGTTGACAAACATCCTCAAGGCTCATGTTCTATTTTAAAAGCAGCATCTGCCTTCTTCTCATCAATCCTTGTTTTAGTGTTCCACCACCAACCCCCTCCCTAAAACACCTTTAAATGACAATATCATTCTTTACTCATTCTTACTCATGCGCCTTACTGGGGCTCTGATGTACCCCAGTTTGTCATGTGTTTTTTTTTTTTAGTAAGGCATCACATTTCTAGTTCCACGGAGCTGATATGAGCATAAAAGGTTACAGTCTCGGAAGCCCACCAGGGCAGTGCTAGCCTGTCCGACAGGGTCACTGTGAGTAGGAATCACTCGTGAGAGAGTAGAGTCCAGCACTTCTGTTACCCTGAGAGAAGCCCGGGATCAGATGAGGCGGACAGAGGAAAGAGATGGGCTATAATCTTTGAGCCTTTCTGATTTCTTTCCCCAGGTACTGCAGAAGTTGGGGAAAACGGTGGAAACCAAAGATGAACGGTTTGAACAAAGTGCCAACAACTTCTACCAGCAACAGGTAACCTGGAGGGTGGGAAGGAAGGCAGGGGGAGAAAGGAGGCCTGAAAGCTAAGTGGCGAAGCACAGCAGGCAGGTCTGTGCCCCAGCACACAGATGTCTACCACCCCATCCCACCCCGCAAGACCCACGAGGCGGCCACCCCCACCACTAACAACCCCGACAGCCAGAGAGGCTCACCCTTCCTCCTCCTGCAGACCCGGGGAGACAGAGGAGTGCTCCCCTTTTCTTCTGGCGTTGCCCCTCAGACATCAGCAGCTCCCCAGAGGAAATCAAAGTGAAGGCCAGCCACCTTCGTTTGAAGGCTTCCTCATTTCCCAGGGTGCCTCTTTCCCTCCCCAGGGTTCCTCCCACCTCACCAACCCCCTGTTCTCCTTGTTGCCTCTTTGTGGACCTGCCACATCCACCCTCTTCTTGCTGTCCCTGCAGCCTGCTCTGGCTCTGATGTGGAGTTTGACGTAGGTCATTTGCATCACGACTCGGGTATCCCAGAAGCGCAACCTACTGTGGACAGTTGGCTTTCATCTGTCACATGCCAGGTGTATTAGTCTAGGTACTTTGGAGAAACAAATCCACAGCAACTCATGTATAAGAGAGTTTTATGTAAAGAAAATGTGCATCATGAAAACATCCCAACCCAGTGCTGCCCAAGCCCATAAGTCCAACATTAACCCATATGTCCCACACCAGTCCACAAAGTCCTCCACCTTACAAAACAGAGGCAGTGATGCCGACTGCAGGAGGAAAGCTAAGTCAGTGAACGAACAAACATCTCAGCACTAGCAGGGGTCTCCACACGGCTGCTCCAGCACCCAGGGCTGCATCGGGATAGGTCCATGTGGCTTCTCCTTGGGGATGTCTTGTAGGAAGTCAATCTTGCAAGCTGAAGCAGGGAACTGCTAAGGCAGCTGCACCCGGTGCGACCATCACAAAGCAAGAGACCCGAGAACTAGAAAGGCGAGGCTCACCACCCATTTATCCCTCCGTCTTTCAATTAGCCCCACATGTGATTATTGGCCAGGCTGGCACAATTAACTAACTCACCAGGCGAGCTCTGGGTGCATTACCTCCTCTAAGCCTCTGCTCAGGCCTGGGATTGTCATCGCCTCTTCTAATAACAGGAAGTTATCTGTGTAAATGAAGCCCAGGTAACTGAGTGATAAAGAAAATAATTGGGGAATTGTACACTGGAGAGAATATAACCTGTCAACAAATAATTCAGTAGGTGACTGTGTATTCAAGTCACTGAAGAAATATTTTTAAATGTACAAACTCTGGGAGTAGAGCCCGAGAGCCTGTACTTCTAAGCTTTGTTTTTCACGTGGAAAATGCTCCTAAGAAGGTAGAGCTCAATGATGGAGCCACACGAATGTGCCATTCCTGGGCAGTCTTCTCTCTTCTCTCCCCAACCCTTCCCCACTTCCCCTGTCCTTGGTTAGGATGAAGCAGATTCCATAGAGCATATGATGTCATCGATAAATAATTCATTACTATTCCAAATGACAAGGACTAAGTGTACATACCGCCGCAGTGTCATTATTACACCTAGGAAATGTGGATCTATAAAATATGACTTGTTCATTGCAACAGATCAGTAAGTGGATGAGGAGAAAAGAAGAAAATTAGCTTTTAAAAGGACAATTTCCTACCCTCCCAACCTAGAGCTGGTGCCCTGGTAGCACCGTGGTAACGTGTGGGACTGCTAACCACAAGGTCAGCAGTTCGAAACCACCAGCCGCTCTGCGGGAGAAAGATGAGGCAATCTGCTCCCCTAAAGAGTCACAGTCTCTAAACCCATGGGGGCAGTGGCACCCTGTCCTTTAGAGTCGCTGGGGTCAGGATCGACTCCGTGGCCGTGATTTCAGCTTGGCTTTGACCTACAGCCATCGCTGCCCTATAGCCTCACAACGACCTTGCTATAGGATACCTAGCTGTATCCACGTTAAGTACATATGTAAGGTCTAACAAAAGGGAGCTTCCTCGCATATGGTTCTGCAGCTCCCTTTCTTCCTCTAAGGATATAGTCCAGACAGCCCCTGACACGTGACGGACAAAGCTCCCTTCAGGCGGCCCTGGTGTGACTTAGCTCTGATATAAATAGAATACGCATTTTTCCTCCCAGTTTATTTCATGATGAGTACTTCTCATTCTCAGTTATCTGTGTAAATCCAATCTTTGACCATCCGAGAACCGCATCAGCATATCACACACTGCAGCACTGCAAGCTCACTAATACAAGCTCACATCTAATGCAAGCTCACATCTCACTAATGCAATGATCACAAGTACCACAGACAAAAGCAGGCGGCCATATGTGCAGTGTGTCATGAATCAAATGTGTGCAAAGTCAGACTACCTCTGCAAATCTTTCAGGTTGTGAAATAGTCTGCTAAGATGTAAGCTGTAATACTGTCTTTTAAAATGAGCAATAGTTCATTAACAACACAGAATGTCTAATGCTCAATAGAGGCCCTGGTGGCATAGTGATTATGCTAACTGGGCTGCTAACTGCAGGGTCAGCAGTTCGAAACCACCAGCTGCTCTGCGAGAGAAAGACAAGGCTTTCTACTCCTGTAAAGACTCAAGGCCTCAGAAACCACGGGGCAGTTCTGCCCAGTCCTACAGGGTCACGAGGAGTCAGCATCGACGTCATGGCAGTGAGGGAATGAACGAGAGACGTAGAAATAGAGTCGCTATGACCCCACATCAACTCACTGGCAGTGAGTAATATTCAAATGCCCGTGTTTTAAGATATTTTTTCAGCTTTTTTTTTTTAATCAGACATCTACTAAGAGCCCTACCTTTCACCTAGCTTATTGACATGTTTAAGTCTGAAAGATTTAAGAGGAAGTCTCTAAATTCCTGGGTTTCCTCTCCTCCCCTTTTCTGCTGCCTACTGGGTGCTTCCAGATTGTCCCGCAATGTTCCTCCAGCGCCTTCCTTTATTTACTGTAAATGGATCGATCTAGAGCAGCGCATCTCAACCTGTGGGTCACGACATGGTTCTAGGAATTGAGACACTGCTCCTCTATCCCCCTCCAGGTGGGCCCGCCCACATACAGGGTCACCACAACACGAGGAACTGTATTTGAGGGTGGCGGCATTAGGAAGGTTGAGAACCACTGGACTGGAGATTTGACCAGAGTCCGATTTTTGTTTGGGCAAGAATCCTTGAAATGTAATGTTCAGTTCTTCCACCAGGAGGCACATCATGTCTGGTTTGCTTCCTCCACTTGTGCTATTAACAACCGAAGGTGACCATTGACTAGGGAAGGGGTGTTTGCTATTGTGCTTCCTAGATAATTATGATGTGGTGGTTAGTCTGGGAGAAGTATTGGCAACCACTGACTTAGTGGTTTTAACCATGAGGAGAAATAGGATTTGATTGCAAGGGGAGATGAGTTCATCAAGGTAACAAAGCACATGAATTGCAGAACTGGGATTCAAATTTAAACCCTGTGTTTTTTCTTCTAAAATATAGTTAGTCTTATTTTTAACCCAGCAAGGGTACGTTGACACACAGACTTTGAAAGGTTTCTGACTCTTGGCCCATCCATCCCTCAGTCTTCCAGTCACTCCTGGAGAAAACTGATCCTACAAAGGCAATGACCCTAAAAGATACAGGAGCAGAGGAAGGGCCGCAAGGAGAATGAGCATCAGATAGAACCAGCCCCTCAGAGCGGCTGGGACAAGCACACCATCTAAACAGGACTGGGGGAGAGAACCTCCGCAGAGATAGAGGCAGGGTAGAAAAAAGGACCGACTTCTTGTTGGTGGCTGTTGTGCCTGTAGTAGCAGAGGGCGGGACGTGCTTGGGGGCTTTCCTCTTCGGTCATGTAGCAGGCATTCGGCAAGTGCCTGCTGCGTGCCATTTACTGCCCCAGAGGCTGGAACTTCAGTATGAAGAAGGGGGTGCACCTTCCCTGAACGCTTCTCACAGTTTAAGGAAGAACCGGGTCTCAGACTAGACAGGGGTGTTTCAGATGAGCAGAGGGCCAAGGACAAGGTCGTGGAGATTGGAAAGTGAAAGTGGACCCCATCTTTCATCCACAGCTTGGAGTACAAACTTTTTTCCCCAAAGTGTTCATTGGTAAATCCCATAATCTTTTTTTTTTAATAATAGTTTTATTGGCATATCTTACACATTCCAGTATATCCATTCACCTACAATTTTGTTATTCAATCCCATCGAGTGGGGTTATACAATCACCAATGCTATCAGCCCCCTCTCTCCCCCCCACCCCCTTTCACTCTGTGTGAATGGCGGGGGAAAGGCCGTGGGAAGCACCACATCTGACCTCCTCAGCTGCGCGAGCAGGAAGGCGAAGGCAGCCTTGCATCTGCCCGGTGATTGCTGGGAGCCGGAGGTCAGGCGTTCCTCCCCCTCCTGGACCCTGCCTGGACGCCAGCTCTCCTTGCACAATGCTTCTCTGCTGACAGTGGCCCCCGGGAACTCAAAGACAAGACTCGCCGTTAAGGAGGTCTAAAGGGAAGTTCACAGGTTACGACAAATCCGGATCAGAAGACATTATAAAGACACAGTTCTTTTGCCTGCAGCTCCTCTTATCAGTCATGCCAGTAGCCTGATCTCTCTTTGGTCCTCAGCCTCCCAGCCTCATGACCCCATGGCCACTGCCCGCTTTGGGCATGTGTTACAAAGCTCCTTTAGTGCTGCTAAGTGCCCAAAGGACAGCCCACTCAGCAAGCCCTCTTCCCACCTGAAGACACTCGGCTTCACGCTGTGCGGTGCCTCTGCTGCCACCACCAGGTGACGTGGGAGCTCACACCTTTTTCTTTCTACACTGTTAAGGGCGTCTCTGCTCCTGCATCTAAAATGGCTCACGTGACACCCAGGGTTAGGCTCCCCAGAGCAGCAAAACCAGTAATGCTTGTATGTGTGTGGAGGTAGGAAGAGACTCACATCAAGGACTGGCTCGTGCAATCATAGAAACAGGTAAGTCCAGTCTGGTTCAACTCCACGGCTCAGAAGGGGGAAGCTTC